ACATTACTGTGGTTTTCAATGTGTGGAAAATGATATATGCTGTAATATTCAAAAGGTGTGCTGCCAGGTGAAGGCATAGGTGGATTTAGGGCCCATGTCTGTCTGAGTGGGCCAGCACTGGATTGAATTTGCAATGTAAGAGAATGAGGAAGTGTGGAGTGAGAAGAAATGGAGACTGGGTGTAAAATAAATGTAACATCATAGGACAAAGAGCACACACAGAGAGCCATGAGGAGCCATCAGGACAAAAGAATGAGAAAACAGTGTCTTTCTAGAGGTCATGAAGAAGATGTTAAGAATATCAGCCCAGTGAGTGTGTCACAGAATATGCAAACTTGAAAGGGATCTTTGGTGTGGTCCCTAATGTTTCTAAGAGTAATTTCATCATTTAGAGATACCAAGTTTTTTTTTTTACTGTCTTTTTTGTTCTGTTTGCTCATTACTGATTATTGGGAAATGAAAAAGTTGGATGTAATGTGTAGAAAAGTTTTATATGTAGTACACCAATGAAGAGAAACAGTAGAAGCTGAAGAAACAAAAAACAACACTCACTCTCCTCCAGAGTCTTATCCAATTGAAAGCAATAAATCATACTTATTATATGTTAACAGTGAGTATCTAATAGGGGATATGGACAATAAAAAGACCTGAGGATTAATGTTTAATACTTGCCATATCAGGTTAGAACAAAGGAGAGGTTTTACATAGATCAATATAGTCTAAAGGGTTTCAGAACTTTACTGTGATGTGAAGGTTGAGCTAGTGACTTAAGAAGTGGCGATCCCTTGTGGAGAAGTAGGGTGTTCAGACTTCCAGAAGTGAGCAAGTACAAGCTGTACGGTTAGCAGCCAGGAGTTTAATATAGCAGATGTGTCAAGACTAGAGTGGAGATGGGGAGTCATGGAAGATGAGGCTGGAAGAGGCTGCCGAGATCAGTCACCAACACTTTTCAAGCTTTGTTGGAGAGTTTTGCATATTTTTGGACGGTGATGCAATGGAACCACAGGTGTGTTTACAGCAATAGGGTGCTGTCACTCAGGTTACATTTTGGATTAGTCTGAGTGGATATTGAGAATAGGTTGAGGATAAGGTTACAATGGGATTGGTGAAGGTCAGAGTCAAAGTAACCAATCATGTTTCTTTCTCTGTCTACTTCTCTCTGTAAATCTGCCTTTCCAACAAAAAGAAATCTTTAAAAAAAATCAGTCAGGGGTGAGAATGTGCGAGGGGAATCACAGAATCTACAGAATTTTACCATAAAATTCAAAATTCAAAATAAATATTTTTAAAAAATGAAAGAAGAAAAAGATGATCCCAGCATGATGGCCCAGTGACAAAATCCTCACATTGTGTGTGCCTGGATCCCATATGGGAGTCGGGGTTATCCCCCAACTGCTCCATTTCCCATCCAGCTCCCTGACTGTGGCCTAGGAGAGCACTAGAGGATAGCCCAGAGCCTTGGAACCCTTTGCCTGAGTGGGAGACCTGGAGGAACCTCCTGGCTTTTGGCTTTGGATCAGCTCAGCTCTGACCTTTGCAACCACTTGGGTAGTGAATCAGTGGATGGAGGATATTTCTCTCTGTAAATTTGCCCTTCCAATAAAAATAAATAAATCTTAAAAAAAGTAACCAGTTGATGGGTTGCAACAGTCATCTGGGGAGGACCTGATGGTTGTGTGAGCAAAGGCAGTGTCAGTGGAAATGCAGAGTTGGGCTGGTTCAAAAGATTCTAGGGAGATAGATTATGAACTGATAGCATGTGAGGGCTAGAAATGCGTTAGAGGGTAAAATCAACTAAAGTCAAGGAGGACATTATGAATGAATTGTGGGAAATTAGCAGTTCTCCATTGGACACTTGAAACATCAGCAGGACCAAGTCCACGAAGCTATTGGGAATTTTCAGGGAAGAAACTTTACAGAACATAAAACAGAGCCAGGCATACAGTAATTATTTAAGGCTTGGAGTAGTCTGAGATGAGTAGGGAGAGTGTACCAAGGAAGAAGAAAAGAGGACAGAGAATAGGATCCTGAATGACAGTAAGATTTAGCATGCAAGCAGAGAAAGGGGAACTTCCCACAGAGATTAAGAAGCACCAACAGGAGAATCAGGAAATGCAGAAAGTGTGGCATTTACAGAAGCCTAAAGACAACCATATGTTGAAGAGACATAAAATAAGAAGAAGAGTAAATAGTACTAATATTTAGTTGCTCATGGCCAGGGCATTATCTATTCCCATCCTTGTTATTTCTTGCCTAGAGTGAATGAGTGCATCTTTTGCTAACTTGAACTTAATCATTGTGGAGGTGATATAGAAATAAAGTTAATTCAATATTGTGACATGTTCATTTAAGCCCAGTGTACTAAATATTACTAAAGAAGTCAAGAAGAAAAATATTTGAGAACTTGCTACATACCAAGCAACTCACTTTCTTAAATCATTGTAATACACAAAATTCCATTTTATGGAAGATGAACATGTATGAACTTATGTGAATTCTCATAGTTGCCCAACTTGGAAGTGGCAGGGGTGGCATTCACTTATACTGCTAACTCCAAAGCACCTGCTTTTGACTGTTCTGAAGGAAAAAAACTAGAAAGCAATAAGCACAGTGCTGTTATCAATAAACTTCTACTCACTTATACCCTTCACAAAGAATACTATGAGGAGAGTGAGCTTTAGGAAGCATGCTATCTATGTCCTGGAAGACATCTAGGCAGGAAAGTTTGAGTTCCTGAGCATCCAAAGCATGGTTTGGGAGCAGGGGCGTGAACTCCAGAGTGATACACTCTCTTCCTGGGAAGACTGCTTAGCTCTGGGGATGTGACTACCTCTTCCATAAGACCAGAGAATGGGTTACATTTGCCCTGAAGTGGTACTATGTCTCAGTTCTTCATGACTATGCTGCGGGCAGTGTAGCTGTGGTCAAGGACAGATGGATAAGGGCCCAGGCAAGGTATGGCTAGTACCTCCTATTAAGAAATAGGAATGATTAATGAAAAAAATCTGTCTTGATACTGAAATTCCTGGGAAGATTCCCAGAATGTCCTAAGAATACTATTATAGATTTCTTGGCCTTAATTTATTTACCAGGGATTGACTCATCAAACTGAAATTTTGAGTTATCTGAATTATTTCATGATTTTCTTTAGCTTCAATTATTGTAATAATTCAAGGAAGCATTTTTTGGACTGGATTCCATATACCATATCCTTGCTTTTTCTTGAGAAGTCATACTGTGAAGTCTAAACATAAAATTGTATTTCCTAATTTATTTCAATAATTGGCTATGAAATATGTAGACTTCAAAAATAGTTTTGAGATAATAACTAACGTATGTTACATTTTTCTAGAAGACAGTTTAAAAATAAACTTAAAAATATTTGCTTATGTAGCATAGGTTTTTCAAGTTATTTTTAAAGACTGAGGAATTAGGCACCTGTCGTTGTTGCCAGCTGGTGTGCTGTCACTCTTCCAGTTGCTGGTCTGTTTTGCACCTGCTGCCACTTGAGATATGGACATTTTGCACATGGTAATTTAATATGGTTAGACCTCATGATAGTGTATTAGATGTTATTCCATTGGGGACGAAAGCAGTTTTGTAATATTTTAAGGAAAAACATTAAATATAATCTTGATATTAATAGTCTTATAAATTTTAAGCATTATATTTTTAGTCGAAAAATTTTAAATGTGTATGGAGTTATGGGAGATTTTAGACATACATCCTAAAACAAAAATTAACCCTTTCTGCTTAGACAACCTTTACTTATCTACATGATGACACCTGTAACTTAAAAAATATATGTTTGCCTGGTAAAATAATTAAAGATAAATAAATACTGAGATCTGCACTGCTCAGTGTAATAGTTATGAGTCACATGTGGCTATTTACATTCAAACTTAAATTAGTTCAACACAACATGAAACTCAGTTCTTCAGTAACCAGAGTTCAAGTGATCAGTAGTCACACGTGGCTAGTGGTCATCATATAAGCCAAAGCAGATGCGAATTTCTGTTTTCATGAAAGTTACTCTTGGTTGGTGCTACATGATATTAACAATTCCAAGCCGTGGGCAAATTTCCCCCTAATGATCATGATGCCATACTGCGTTGACCTCAATAGGAGTGATTTTAATTTCCCAACATCATTCTGATTACAAAAGCATAGGTTGAATTTGAAGTATTGGCTACTGGAATTTCAGGTGCTTGATGACCCGAAGCTCCAATTTAGGAAAAGTTGTGTCAGCTTCCAAAATACTTGTGCACAGGGGTACTTTTTAGAAATGTTATACTCCTGTATGCAATCATTATCTTTTTAGGGTATCAGGCAGATTATTTTTATATTCATATCTTCTAAATATTCAACTGTCAACTTCCAGTTTCTCTTGCAGTAAAGGTGATATGGGATAGCATTCCAAAATGATGAGATGAATGTACACTGTAAAGTTTTCTGTAAATTAGTCCCATTTTTGACATGTCTTAAAAAGGCTAAAAGTAAAAATATTTAGGGATGTGGACATGCATGGGGGGTAGAATCATCATAGAGGAGGGAATATTAATAAGCAGGTTCTTGAATACTTGGACAATAATTCTATCCCTGAGAATACTTTTTAAGTAATGGCTGAAAGGTCACTTTAAATTTTATCCTTTGGGATATTTAGAGTAAAGGAATAAGGGTTTGCTAGAATTTTTATAGGCCAAATTGTTAATCTAAGTGGCACAGATCAAATCATGAAGAGAATGGTTCAGATAAATCTGAAGTAAGTTGCCTTCACCTCAGATTGTATTGTTTCTGTTAACATGTTCCTGAACTTATCCAAGTCTCTTTTCCTGTAATATAGGGTTAGCTTCATTATTAAATTTATTAGTGCTGTGCAGACTGCAGTTTTACTCTTTATAATTCACAAATATTGTATAGTTGTAACATAACATTGAAGTTTCAAAAATTATTTTCATTGAGCCAGAAAATTAAAGCACTGTGACCTCAGCATTCCAGACTGACCAAAATTATTTATTGATTGATTTTTTTAAAAGATGTTCATTGACTTCAGGTAGATAATGAGCAGTAGAGCTTGGGTCTGGGGTCGTCAGTGTTGTATTCTCTGTCAGCAGCCGGTTGGTTTGTGTGGTAGAAATACAATTCAGAGAAAAGCTCCAGCTCTATAGCAATTCAGGGAAGCCTTCAATTTTTCAATCTAGAATAGACCCGTTTATATTGTTTTTCTGAAGGATGGTAAACAAATCTGGATTGTTAGTCATGGATCTTATTAAAATAAGGTTCCAGCCAGTCTTCTTACATAATGCTTGTTCTGTAAAAGAAAAAGGGAAATGCATTAGGTGTTTCCAGAAAGAAAACTCAGGGTGGGATCATGTGAGTGCCAAGGAAGAAGCCTAAGATGTATACTGCTCACAAGCTAAGCCGCTTCCTAGCTGCAAGACACGCCTTCCAAGTATTTCAAGAGTTGCAGTAGGGCTTTCTAGAGCAGTAGTTGCTGAAAAATTCTTCGGTTTTTCAAAGACCTTAGGTGCCTGCTTTTATTAGTGTTGTCCCCCAAGTAAGTTAATTAGCTAGTTTCTGGTTTGTTGAGTCTCCACTATATGATTGTGTTACAGTTTAAACGATAGGGTTTAATGGACAGGATTTTACGTTCATACAAAAAGTACTGTTCTGAATATCTCATCTCAAGGAACTGATGTTTTCAGTTAATATAAGTAATGGTAAATGACAAAGCATCTTAGTTATGTTTACAGAATTTTTTTTTTTTTTACCCATAGTCAAAACATTTTGTAAAACTGATATCAACTTAGGAGAAAACTGCAGTATACATTACAAAATCAAACAAAGTTACATTATCTCAGTAGATTAACTAGAATCACTGAGTCTGTGATACGATTTTCTGTGACAAAGCACAAATTCATAAACCTGATGGGTCACTAGATTTGCTTTCTTCTAAAGGAACAACCTTTTGTGAGTTGGGCCTTTCTTCTGGAAGGCTGGCAGCACACAGGTGAACGGCCCTCACAGAAAACCACTGAGATTGGCTGGGAACAGTGGTGATCTTGTAGCAACCTGGACAGTTTACATTTATAAAGCAAGAACTCACACTTTGAATTAGCTGTTTTTTTCTTGGGTTCCTCTTTTCCTCCTTCAAGGAGGGATGGAGTAAGCCTTTGGTCAAAGGCTCATTGGCCGCCTGGGAGCCGGGCATGTCTGACCTGTTGCTCTGGCAACAGCTTGCAAGCACTGAGAGCTTTTGATTTAAAAGGGGGAACAAGTACATACCTGGACACCTCCTTTAGATAGACATGATGTGCTTGACAAAAGCTGGGGGATTAAAACAATCTAGAATTATAAAGTGCAACTTTAATAAAAGAAACACTTAGCAAGTTAGCTTAATACTAATTTCTAGAGATGGCAGTAAAGTTTAGTTTTCTACAGTCCATACAGCCCATACTTATTAATACCAGGTTTCAGACCTTTGTTTAAGCTTTGTAAATTTGATATTGTGAATAAATGTGCATTCTGTAGTTAAACTTTTTAAAAATATAAAGTATATGTAAAATGCAAATATATTTTATTTCAAAGTGTTCCTTGTAGTGGCATACTCTAGACATTGTTTTTTACTTTTCTAAACTAATAATTTATCTTATGATGCTGCCAGAACTTTACACAGATGTATCCTTATCCTAGTACTACAAATATATATATATGAAATGAAGAAATTATTTTAAGAGTTTATCACCCAGTTAAGAGTTGCATATTGATCGAACCTTCATAGTTGATGCAACCATTGGAGTCTTCTTGACCTGCCAGCAGAGTTTCTACTTCCTCCTCCTTCATCTTTTCACCTGATAAAAACAAATTCTTTATTCAGAAAGAAGGCCAGGGAATACTTTCAAAAAACACAGCCAGACGATCAGTCCCATCCTCCTGGAGATTGGATAGTCCTTGACTATCCAAGCTGTATCCTAAAGGAACTATAATGCTTTAGTTATCTCCCCAAAACAAAGTTACTGTCACTGAGGCCAATTGAAACAATCATAAATACTTCTGACTCATTTATTCAGCTTTACCCTCTGCCTATTTTGCTTCTAATATGTCTCTCCTGCCATACTCTTTCCTAGGTATTTTGTCCTATTTAATGCACTGAAATGCATTATTACCCAGGGTGGCCAGAACATGGCGGAGTTCAGCACCCATGACTGTGCCATTGCCTTCCTTGTCAAAGACGCGCAGACCCTCAACAAAGTCTTCATAGCTGCCCTGGTCCTTGTTGTTGGAAATAGCTTGCAGCATGGGGAGAAACTGTTCAAATTCAATCTTCTTGGCATTCATCTCTGGAAGAAATTGCAATTTGGAGAGTTGCTAGTCAGTCTAAAACACCATCTCTGAGTCACAAATTAAGCTTGCAAATTCATTTTGGATCATCTTTTCAGATCTTTATACATCTTAAAATGCAGTTGATAAATTACCATAGTGACAAAAATAAAGCAATATCATCAGCTCTGGTGTCCCAGGGTCCAGATGGATTTTATCCTCAAGGTACCATTTATGACTATGAGATAGCTAGGCATGTTTGTTAACCCCTTTGGGTATTAAGAGTTCATCTTTAACACAAGGCATAGTGTCATTACAAGAATTAAATGAGACAATGCATGCAAAACTGACTAAAATATTTGGGGCAGAATAAAAGAAAAAATTTGGGGGCAGACTGAGTGATTAATATGTATTAACTGCTATTCCATTAATATTTTGGATTTAATATATTCCACAAACACTAGCAAATCAACACAAAGATGTATTGAGACAACAGATCCACTGACATAACATTTAGTGTACATTGGAGTTAGTCCTAAGGTTTTTATAGCCATCAGTTTCTTTAATTTTAAGTATTTTTAAAAAGAAAATTATTTGGAGAGTGAGTGTATCAAATGTTTTCTGATCTTTTGACTTCTGTACAATTTAAAGGCTTGGAGATAATAGACCTGCTTTGTAACAAAGTACATTTGTACTTTGTAACAAAGTACATTTAATTCAGAGCATACGTATAAAGTAGACTATCCAGAAATATTAAAGTGGACAAAATTAAGTGCATCCCAAATCAAATCAAATTAATTGAATAATATTAAAAAGATAAACCTTGAATGTGGAATAAATGGACATTAACTTAGTATGTTTTGGAGATGGATGCTTGGTAAGTTAGAAAATGACATTTAATTTAAAATAGTTTGACTTATAGCTCTCACTGTATCTCATCCTGTCAGCTGCTATCTGTATAATTTAACTATATATAAACTTTCCTCCAAAAAGTGAAATCTGAGGAAAATTCCAGAAGACAGATCTAGAAGTATGATTTTTTTTTTCAAATTGCTTTCTTTTTTGATCAAGAAAGCTTTCATAAATTTTCAATTATCAAAAAAATTTTGTTTTCCTTTTCTCTCCCTTTTTCCTAATGACAAACAGCTCAAGTGTCTACTTGAGGAAACTTCAATTTTGTGTTTTATTTTTTTTGTAAAGAGGGAAATTTTCAGTCAACTATTATACTTTGCCAGTGAGTTATTAGAATTAAAAAAAAAAAAGGTAATTTCTTTATTTCAACCCACTAGCTGGATTTCTGTTTTGAGGGAATGTGTTCTGCAATGTTATCACTTTTGTATATCAGTGATTTGTGTTCCGGGATTTATCTCGGTGATGAATACAGATTTGGTTAGGCTGTTTAAGGTTTTATAATTCTAAGACATCATGTTTTCTTTCTTTTTTTTTTTTACTTAAGATAGTCAAGGTTATTTTAAGGTGGCAACGAAAACAGAGTCATGGGTCAGAGTTTAGGATCAAAGTCTGCAAGTTTGTCAACTGCTTCAAAACATTACATTTTATTTTCACAATTTATGTCATAAAACAGATTTTGCCTGATGTGTCCTTTTGTATTTATTTTATGTTGCTCACAGAATGCATTGTGTGTTAGCCATATGTATGTCTGTCAGAATATCCCTTTGATATGAAGATTTTAAGACTAGGAAAAAATATGTCCCAATTTGGATATTATTTCATTATCCTTTAAATTATGATTATTTGATATGATGATGGTGGCATTACCTTACTTCCTTTTATTAGCATAATACAATGTCATTTCTCAAAGGGAAATTAACTTATGTTAGATGGAAAAGCTGAAATATGAGATGGCTAAGAGTCAAAATTGACTACCATCAGGAACAAACTGAGCTATTATGTGAAATGGATTTCTGGGTCTCTGACAATTTCTCTTTCTCTGTCATGCGTGTGCACACTCACACAGAAGGCACACACCCTTCTGTAGTCAGAAAAACTGGTGAGTTTACCTTCATTGCTAGGATTTCCTAGAACCTTCTTCACCTCTGCATTGGTCGGGTTTGTGCCCAGAGCTCGAAGGACATCGCCAACCTGGCTTAAGGTGATCTTGCTTTCACCTGTTCTGTCAAACAGGAGAAATGCCTCCTTGAATTCTGCAAGAAACAGGAAGCATTAGTGTGTTTATCTTCTTGTGACCTGTAAATTCACTGTAGTGCCATAAGGCATTCGGTTAACACTTTGCTCAGTTTTGTGTATTCTGGCAGCTCTCAAGGCATTATTTTTTCACTGAGATTGTGTTATGTTAGATTAATTAAAACTTCTCAAATGATACAGAGCCTTTTTGTATAACATTTGCACAAATAGAATGTAAATATTTTTATATAGAAAATACTTGAGGTATGAATTTCCTTGGGTCTTCCATTAATTAGCTTTTTTCCCCAGAAATAACTTCTTCATCTGAGAAAAAACACATAAGCAAGAAACCTGTAAGTTCTGTGGTATTATTCAACCTTTCACTGTATAAGTCTTAGAGTCATCTGATAAAATCAATCCAAAGAGACAAATATTTATTTGGATGTATTGATATAATAATCTCTATATTTGATTCTTTTTCAGATAGTATGTAGAACAACATGCTGCTCTATCACATTTAGAAAGTTTAAAATTTCTTTTTAAAATTCACATGGAAACATTATACATATTTATGGTATACCAAACAATGCTTCCATATGTGTATCCATAATGTAATATTTCAATCTGGGTAAGCCTAATGATCTTTTCAAATATTTATTATTTCTTTGTAGTGGGTGGCAAAATTGAAAACTTCATCTATAGCCATCCGTTGTGTAATAGATCACCAGAATTTTTCTTATATAACTATAACTTAATATTCATTGAGTAACACCCTTACCATTTTAGCCTCAGCTTTAGAATTTAAGTATATGTTTTTAATTTTAAAAAGTTGAAGATAGTTGTAGATTCACTCACAGCTGTAAGAAGAAATATAGGAAAAATCTCTTGCATAATCTTAGTTCCTTCCAGTGACAACTTTTGACAAAATCACAGTTTATCATTTCAGTCAGGATATTCAGATTGACAGATTGCATGAACCTCATTAATATTTCCTCAACAACATCCAGAAAACCCACTTGCAGAATTGGTGGAGGTGAAAACATTCTTTTTAGGTTATCAGGTCAAGAGATGTCATATCTTGCTCAGTCATCTACCATATTTTACTATCCCTCCACCTCCTCATCTAAGATGGCATTGAACATTATGTTCACCCTTAGCTATATACCATGATACCTTTCCTCACTAAAATTTGCTCCTCAAATTCTATGTAATTTGAGTAGGACAGATCATTTCCCTAATCTAAAAATCATGCCACAGGCATTATGGAGCCATTAGTTCAATATTATTTTTCATTCTTCCAAGGGACATGTGAAACTGGACTATTCTTGTTACTGGCTCCAGGCTTTCATGCAGTCTGCTCAGAGGGCTCAGAATTACCCTGGGGAGATGCTGATGTAGAAATAGGATTTTATGGGCTGTAATAGAATCACTCTGACATTAACCCTTGTCATGATTTAAAGGCAGAGGCCAGAAAATACTGTTCTTTTCCCTTCAGCTTATTAACCCAAGGCTTACTGACTCTCTTGAAAAGTCTGGAACATGGGCTGGCAAATTACTTCACTGGGTCTGTCTGAAGTTGTTATGTATAAAGTTTGATTGAATAAAGCCCATTCATTTATGTGTTGTTGGTGACTGTTTTCACACCTTGTATAATGGCAATTTTAGAAGCAGATACTAGAGTGACAAGAAGGGAGGCTCCAGAATGGTATTCTTTTTACAGAGACTATACTGCCAGCAAACCCTAACAGATTTACCACTTGCTCCTGTAAGAAAAGACGTATTGACCTTTGGAACATATAGGTAGCCGCCAATTATGGCTCTTCAGCAGTGAACTGTGACTAGTGGAACTGAGAAAATGGTTTTTAAATTTTACTTAGTTTTAATTACTTGAAATTAGAGTAACCACAAGTGGCTGTTGGCTGTTCTATTGATCAACACAGGACTCAGCATATTTACAAAGCTGTAATGTTCTTTTCTCCTCTCTTTCCTTCCATCCTGTGATACATTTAAACAGGTAGCCATGTGAAAGTTCTTTAACAAGAGAGCAGTCTTAAGTGGTCTTCATTTGAGAAATTGTAAATTTTTTATTTAATTTAAAATGCTTACATTTGTTTTCCTGACACAAGAGAAACCCAGCCTGGCATAAAAGTGTTTACTGAATTTATGTGTTTATCTAAAACCTATTTCACATGAGGGAAAATAGGTTTAATGCTCAAGAGTAAGTCCTGTTTCTGCAAGGAGTTTTGTTCTTCTATTGCGTGAGTGGCTCTGAGGATTATAGCAGCTGATAATGCAGCATAATTGTAAGTTTAAAGGATGTTTTCTTAAAAAAATCAAGCAAATTGTAGGAGAATCTACTTTTTTTTCCATTAAAAAATACCTTGCAATACATTCAGATGATTTTTTATTCAGATGATTTTGAGTTATGACTTATCAAACGAAGCTGACTACATGAAGCCATTAGCTATAATGTAGATTCATCGGAATCTGTACTAGAGCAACTATTTTTTTTCTTAATTTATGTCCAGCAATGACATGTATTATCCTGAAAGAGGCTGAAGAATATGTACTCCTTTAAGTAGAGAATGGAGTTTTCATTACCCACCTTAATTCTTTGTATTTTATACATAATAATATAAATTACGTACATACATTAATTGTAAAGTGTTTGGCATCTTCTAGCTACAATTTTTTATGTGAGAAGTTTCCAACCAATTCAATACCAGATTTTGATTCTATTACTAATTATTTGGAGCCTTTAATTAAGTCCCATTGCCTCTTTGAGAGTCAGTCCTGCATCTCCATGGAGAGTTGGATCAGGATACAGTTAACATGCCTTCCACAGTTGTACGAAACATTAATCCTTCTTCTTTATATCTGAACTAATTTTAATTCTATAACTCTGTATAGCCCTCATTGGAATTATGTAGATTTGTTAATTTGGCAGTTTTGTAATCAATTTTATTTTCCAAATTGAACAATTCAGACTTGTCAAGTCTCACTTTAGAAATTTGGTTATCAAATTATTATCTAAAGTCTATATCCCTTTTTGGATTTGCATATCAAATTACTATCTAAAGCATCTATTTTTGGATATGTTATATATGCAATACTGTATATTTTGTGAATATATTATTATTTGCAGATTATATAAATTATATTGGCTTTATAATATTAATATAATTTATATCGTGTTATATCCTAATAATTATATATTAGCCATATATTTTATTTATTCATTCTATATGCATTATATACTGATAATTATATATTTGTATGCTTAATAGCATCACTTATACATTTTATAAATACATATATTAATCATATACAATATATCCATAAAATTTATATTCAATTACATATGACAAAATATATGTGTACTATATGTACCTCTCTTCTGTTGCATCAGACTTAATTTATTCAGCAGTCAATGAATTTAAGGACTTACTTTCTGGCATTTATCTTTTGTTTGGTTTAAGTTTTGACTGCTTGTTATAAGTAAGGCTTCAGATTGAGCTAATTTATATTTAGAGTCATTGAGACCAATTTATATTTAGAGTCACAACACCAGTGGGGATAATTAGAAAGAGCTAAGCTCCTCCCAGGGGAGTTGGTTTTCACACATACCATTTTTATGAGAGTGCATGTATTAACCACTTGAACTTTTAAACTTACCATCCTGCTGTTCCTTAGAGAACTCGATCTGTTAAGAAAGAAATTTTACACAAGAATATTTTAACTAGGCAAAAATGTCCTAATTTTAAAGTGTATCCAGCTCATTCCCTGAGTTATCTTCAAAGTACGCTCCAAAAATCAGCCTACTTTTCAGAGTTCAGGAATAGCTTCGACACTAACAGGTTGAGCCACAAAATAACATGCCGTCAAATTAAGTGATATTTCAGAAGAAGGCAGTGCCCTGCCTTCCTCTGCGGTAGAGAAGCTCAATTCACTTACCAGCAATCTGGTCAGCACTGAAGGACTGTGGTGGTGAGAAAGAAAAAGAAACAAACAACTAGTACTTTTTCAAATGCATTGACAGAAGTGCTCTCTGCTCTGACAATCCTTAGGAAGCCATGTGGATCTCATAGCATGGGAAGATTGAATATGTTTGAATCTAGAAACATAAAAAAGCTATTGCAAAATATAATTAAGGAATGTCTTTCTGAATCTTCATTAATGAATGAATGATTCAATAACTGCTAAATCAAATACTTTATAAAATAATAGAATTATCCGTGGCATATTTAAGATGTGTCTAATAAGATAGATTGTATTAAAAAGTATTGTTATGATGCATTAAAATACCACTTCAAGTCTACTTTTTATCCAATCCATTTTTATATTAGCATTTAACACCCAGCGCATCAAGAACAGCTTCCTTGACTGTATTTTAAAGTGCAATTTTTCATAATAGTTGTAAGATTTTAAAAAATAAATTAGAAAAATATAAGCCTGATGTAATATGGCAAAATATAATGTTCTACCCTTGGAGTAACTTGCATTTTCCAATTGGCATAACAGCACTAAACCATATCTATACTCAATATACTCATCTATACTCAATAGACTTGTCCAAAGGAAGAATAAGTAGAATGTAAAGATTCTACTAAATTTATTCTCTCCTTAGTTCTGTTGCTTGTCTATGTTCTTTCTCAGTTAACTCAGATCCACTGTCTATGCCCTTGCATAAATGACAAACAGCTTTCTCATAGGACGCACCATGATGGAGCTGCCGGGCTGGGAAACAGCGGCGAAAGTGAAGAGTGAGCTGAGGGCTGCTGCAATCCCTGAGTGGAGTCCCCTCGCTAAGGCTTCCTTTTATTTCTGGGCAATCTGAGCTCATCACTGGCATCTGATTTCAGAAGGAAGTTGCCACTCCCCTTGGAGAGTCCTTTAGCTTTCTTAGGGCAAAGGGAAAGAGGGATCTGTACCCTGAGGTCTATTTTTAGGAAACCAGTCCCCAAGAGTGAACAGCCATAGTGAGTGTGAGGCGTGTCAGTACTTTTATGGTCATTGTCTCCAAGTTTGTTGGTTGAAGCATCTACCTTTAAGAAGGGTATGTTTGCTTGGAGATAGAGAAACTCAGAATATCTCTGAAGACTCCAGCTGACCCTCTCCCTTGGTGAATTCTGTACTCTGCAAATTTCTGGTCAGCAAGTTTTGGTATTAATGAATCTTGGATGGGGCCGGTTTGGGGTTTCAAATAGCAGCTACCATAGAAGGAGCATCCTCTGCAGTTCTTGTCTGTTAAGGTAAAGTTCAGTGGCCTTAAGAAGGCTTTGCACATTCTGTTTGTTCCTTAAGGGGCCCCCAAGTGACAGTCAGTGCAGTCAGGACTTCATAAATCCAAATAAAGGCCACTCTTTTGCAAGTTGTGTTTTCAGGGGTCTAAGCCAGGAATGGTTTGATCTCCCCTTTTTTCTTTTTACACTTATCTCTTGGTTTCCTGACACTGAGTTTAAGTATTTATTTTTCACCTTGTGTGTCATCTTTATAGTAATTAAATGACCATATTTTGTGAAGTTCTTCTAAGTAGGAAAGCTGGTAGACCATTATGCATAAATCTCTTCTCATTTTATACTTACTCTTTCTAAAATGGTACACAAATTCTTACCAGAACGTGTTGCTTCTGTTTGTTTTGTCCAACTCTCAATGGCTTAATTTCTAGACTGAGACCCAAAGGAACCCAACAGAGGGGCTCTGGAATATATAATTGTACATCGAAATTTAAAAATTCTCTGAAGAATTGGCCAACAATGGGTTTTCCTGGTAGTTTACCTGAAATTAAGAAACAATGCCACTCCTCAAATGGAAAATGTGGTACTGGAAAATATTACTGCTAGGGTACCCATTAAGGTTCAGACATGTTGATCTGTTTTGTGCATATTTAAATCAGCTCCTAGGCATAGAGGATGTTCACTGTCTGGAGTACTACTTCAGTAACTGTTAGTAAGGGAATGATCAGTAAAAGCATGAGGTTTTCCCTGCTAGAAAGATACGCTGTAAAGAAAAGAAGAGACAAATACTTCTTAGCTTCTCTTCAGACTATTTTGAAAGAACTTAATGTCTAAACTCATATTACTTTTGGCTCAAATGTTATTAAGCAATCAAAAAGCCATATGCTCTTGTACCAAATTGAGCACTGGAAGTATTATTGTTAAGTGACTAGTACCCACCTTATTGTACCTTCATAAGTAAACTGATACTTTGATGTCATTGTAAAAAAAAAGAATTGAATGAAAAAATTAAATATCTTGTTAGTTTTTAAATTTTTCAAAAATTTTGAATCATTATGGAAAAATAGGAGAGAATGACAAAAGTAGAAATTTTTAGCCATTCACAATCATGTAATTTGAAATCTTTTAAAGTGCAAATTAAGGTCTTTTGAGCCGAACACATTTTCTTTGTGCTGTTTTTAAGGGTTGTAATCATGTCATTAAATTTGACTTGCCCTATGAAGCTAATATCTGTAGCAGAGCTAATAACTGTAAAATTGACCACTGAAGTTGCTGTACTTGGTAGACATACTTATCAATTTCGTGCTTCATACTTTTTTCCAGGTAGAAAAATGAATTCTTTTATACCATATAAAATATGGTTAATTGAATAAAATCTGTTGAGTAAAGTGACATTCCTAGACACTTGGATATCATGTTATGATTATGATTATTTAAAAAAGGAACAATAAATTACAGGCAATTATCAAACTGTTTAACCCTAGCCTTTCTCTCTGTATGTCACATGGAGAATGAGAGTTCAGTTTCTTTGAATCATCTGAGAGTTGAAAAGAGATTTGAACATGTTCTCTGAAAATTATACAGAAGTCTTAAAACATAGCCTTGTCTAGAGGATAAACTGTAGTTTAAAAGGTAGAAGATCTAGATTTTCATAGTGTATGTGGGAATGTAGTTTAAACTCAGGTACACTTTTGTAAATGATGGAGCCTCTCTTTTTTTCTTAGTGTGATAATAATGAAACGGTTAGCCCTTTGACTAAAGCACTGATATGAATACATACTGTTCAGCTGATTTTGATCTGTTTTTATTATGTAATAACTTATCTTAAATGATTGATTTAAGTCTTTTATGTTTGGCATGCTCTCTTTTCATTTTTGTTGTTAGAAAATAAATATACTTCAGAGCCTTAATAAAACCTCTTCCTCTTGAAAGAACCTTTTCTATTTCCTACTTAGCTACTTTAACCTACTGTAGGTTCTTTGATCTTCTTAATTTAACCTTATGAAAATTTTAAGCCATTCTTAAAACTCATGCATTCATGATGTGGACCTAAGCGTGAGCTTGTCCTTACCTCTCCCTCGTAAAGCTGTGCCCCTACCTTGCTTTTATGTTTTATGACAAAATTTCACATCATATCTTGTCTATGTGAGATGCTCAGTAGGCTTCCATTGAATGAAAACCATTATATATTCCTGTGCTATATACACATATACTGTATGTACACACACACACACACACACACAGCTTCTCGGGTAGACATAAGTACCTCCTATAGAATACTTTATCTGTTATCAAAGAACCTTCCTTCTAAAGTAGAGACATGCCTATTCACCATGAATTTCGCATCTCTTATACTTAGAACAGCCCATTACCTAGTAGGCACATTTGTTTTGAATTACTGAGGTGTGCACCTTTATATTTAATACCTGCCTTAGACTTTAAGTAATGTTTATACATTGGACTCCTAATTTCTCACCTGTCCATTTTTAAACCTTTAAATAATTTACATTCTTTTCTTAGATTAAGATAGCTACATTCCACACCTTTGTGGTTCATGTACTGATATGGTGGTGTTGGATTTTAGGTAGGTTATAATCTATAAGCTACTATTACTAAAAAGAAATTTTTTATGTTTATAGATTCTTTTTTTTTATTGTTGCTTACATTGTATTATGTAGTACAGTTTTAAGATTCTTTTTAACTTCAAGAGATATCTTTATAATAATTGTGAGAAATGGTTAACTCAAGATAAGGAAATGTTTGGAAATTAAAAGATTTATAGGAAAAAATTCAAAGAATCAAAACATTCTGAAATTAGTACTTGTTAAATTTTAGCAAAAGAAAATATATAATTGAAGATGGTGCAGGTAAAACGTAGGAAAATGATCTAGGAATGCACATAGACAACAATCTTCAAAGAATCTCATAATTTCCTCAGGATACAGTGAGGATGTAAGTGAGCTTTATCTGACACAAACCAGTTTTCCATTACAAGAACGTTGCTATATGTTCTCTGATATATTGCTTGCCAAAGAGACTAAAGACCTGTATGGCTTTCACTCTTTGGAAAATCTCAACTTAATTTGTCCTATTTCACAGAATTTCCAAGACTTGCTGTAGAAGACCAGCAAAAGTACCATTTTGGAACTCAGAATTTTGTGCTTCAGAATAATTTATTTGTCATGAGAGATAAATGTTTTCCCATGCATTTTTGACCTCAACAAAAGATTTATTGAGATTGTTACTGTAAAATAGTACAAAGAGGAAATGAAGAACATTGAGTTTATGTTACTAGCACAGGTTATTTGTAACAGAAAAATATTTTTGTTTGGATCAGCAAAATTGATCTGGATGGAATGAAAAGTACATAATTTTATGCTCAGGTGAGTTCTCATACAAATAGTCCCATAGAAACATAGGTTGATGATAATTGGCTAGAAAATGTAGTGTATTTATCATACAGGAA